TCATTCGAATTACAGTTGGAGAGTAGTATAAGTTATGAAGCTCCTCATTATGCAGTTTCTCCAATCTTCTGTCACTTCATCTCTCTTCGGTCCTAATATTCTTCTCAGCACCCTGTTCTCAAACCCGTGGCTCAACGCAACGTTAATAAATTAACATTAGAATCGCGAATTATTCTTTATTTAATATAACAGCGTTTTCTGAGAACCCGAATAGAGAGCTCACGTCAATTGCCTGCACAAGGAAAAGCTAAATACCCTTATCTCGCTAGAGGTCCTTTCTTAAGAAGCTGTTATCTATGCAGATGGTCACGAATTCATTTGTTTTTTCGAATTGAAGGTTCATTACGAGGTTTAAAAATCCTGGGACATTTGAATGTAATCAATTCTTCCATATCTTAAGTTATTTAACGTTCATTTTAATAACGTTCTCAGTTAGCTAAAGTCGTATAGTATATTCTCTTGAAATTTTCCTTTACATTCCTCATTTCATCCGCGAGTACTAAATGGTTCGCCCTAGTTACCCTTTGCTTATTTAATCATCCTAAAAATGTTAACAGAATTTTACAAGCCGTCAAACTTCTCATAGCATACTTTTATTCATTATACTGTTACTTCTAATTTTTAGCCTAATTTCCTTATTTTTAAAAATAAAAGGAGCCTTATGAGATCATCCTGTTCCATATCTGACTGCCCGTCTCTCTATTTATCTGTCCCTAATTTTTTAGGCTTATGAGATAAAAAGACAAAAGCTACAAAATGCAGCGACCATCGCACAATAAGTCTTATTGCACATACAGCAAAGATAATAGCAAAGATACTTAAAAGAAGAATTGAAAGGAAAATAGAGGATGTACTTGGAGAAGATCAGTTTGGATTTAGAAGAGGAAAAGGAACCAGGGATGCAATTGGGATGATGAGAATTATAGCGGAACGAACTTTGGAGATAGATGAAGAACTGTGTGTTTGCTTCATAGACTGGCAGAAGGCATTTGACCGGGTAAACTGGACCAAATTAATGCAGATCCT